GTACATATTGGTGTATCATAAATTTTACTTCATGATGAAACACCATATTTTTTTTTTACGAAAATGAAAAAGTCATTTATTTATACCGAAGGATACCAGAGGATCATAATTATTTATAAACTTGCCAATTTGGTATATCATTACAATGTACAAGATTAGAAAGGGCTTAAATAAAACAGGGGTGACAATTTCTCAATATACAGAACAGAAAATGTAGTATTTAATAATAACAAATTTGTGCTGTCAAAGTGAACTTACTTTATTTTGTTTTCACCCATTCATAAGCCAGTTATGATGACCTTTGACCTTACCTTATTGCCTTTGACCCCTTTATATGCTTTGTAGATGTTTAGGAGTGTGATGTGGTCACCGTCACTGGACACAAACTTCTGACGGACAGCTAAGGCCTCTTCTCTCTAAAATCGACAAAGTATACCAAGAGTTCACTCCCTTCTACAAACTTTCCATATATACCTAAGGTTGACAAATAAATTATCACTTTGATGTGATATAGCTTACAAACATTTCGCAGTCCTTGTGTTTGAACTACGCTTCACATGAAAACATTCCTTTGTTAATGGGTTTCTATGTACTCCCTAACCATCTCCTCAATCAATGACTAAATTGTTTATATAAAATGGTGATGTCCTTAATTTGGTGCAACAGTAAAGCCCAACGACAATTTTGGCCAAGTGACCTTGACATTTGACCTTCAGGTATAGCAACCAATGTACATGATTCTTTTTCATGTTGCTTAGTGAGCAACTTACTGAATTTTGTGACACCCACTGAATGAGAAAAATATAATTTAATAAAAGTAATCAGACTAACCATTTTTATAAGTTTCCTTATTCTTTTTAAGTTCAACGGCTACATATAAACCATGGGTGCTACCACAATAATATTAAGCCAACTAACATGTAAACATGTTACATGTTGACTGTTTCATATTGGAGGTATTAACCCTTTCACCACTGTAGACCATAATGGACTCGTCCAGATCAATGCATGGTAGAGTCTACTAAAGTTACATAGGGGTGAAAAGGTTAACCACCATCAAACTCTTTACAAACTGAAATGCAATCTAGCCATAATTCGTTTCCAAGTTTAATGATTGATGGTTCGATGGAAAATATCATATTGTACAAATGTTTTTCATTGAAATCACAATATCAATGCAATTACTCTCATATCATTATCTCTTTTTGTGAAAATGTATACAACCTCGAAAGAGACTAAACCAAGGCATTAGACCTGCAATCCTCGATATCCAAGGGTTACACTCACTTTCGCTCTCTACACCCCTGGAATATGTCATAGCAAAATTGAAGGCTCAGTGTGCGCCACCTTGTTGATGAGACCAGAAGAATAGTTCGACCCTTTGATATATATCAAAAGAATCTCGCGGTCACAAAACGGTAAAACTTGACAGGCTTTGAAGTCTGGCCTCTCTTTTGTAATCTTCAAAGGATAGGCATCAGCCTAGCGATTGGTCAGGGTTTTTTCACCTGAGACCAATTGAACAGCTATCTTCGTGCCTTCAATTTTGCTATGACATATTCCAGGGGTGTAGAGAGCGAAAGTGAGCGTACCCCCTGGATATCGAGGATGTAGACCTGCTGACGACCTGGTACTTACTTTTCTCTGTGGTGTAAACAACACAGAAACAACAGACAGCATGGACACTATTGTAAGAACTTCCTCTCTGGAAATATCAATGTAAAGGTGCATGTTTGAAATAAAGAATGATTCAAATCTACAGAGGTACTGGTGATGAAAGAATGTCCAGTCATTTTGCCCTCCACATCTTAAACTCTTCACACCATTCAATTCCAGCAATACTACAAAGCCAGCAAAGAACAATGTCAGTCTGGCCTTGTCTAATTCAGTTATTAAATATCTTCTCAAGAAATACTGTCTACCAGGAATTTTTCCCTGTTGATTAATTTTCCCTTTTTTCGCCACACCATCATGATGGCAAATTTATCATTACAGCGAACATTATAGGAAGCATGGTAGTCTAGTGGTAAGACGCCAGGCTCGTGACTGAAGGGTTGCAGGTTCGAGTCACGGCACGGCACTGTGTTGTAACTTTGAGCAGGAAACTTTACTCGCTTGTTCCAGTCTACTCAGCTGTAAATGAGTATGTGGTTGGGCAGTGCTAGAATTGTTGAATGCTAGCTGTGAGTGCCGAAATGGCAGCACTGGCTGTATGCTCCCCAGGGAGTAGAGAAAGATGTTGGCTGGTTGAGACAACCTACGAACTAGGTTGTGATGAAGCGGTATATAAGAACCTCAAATTATTATTATTTTAACTATTAGCAAACAAAATCACATGCGAAGTAATCAAATGTGAAGGGATAAATTAACACTGGGCTGGAGTAGGGCGAAAAATGTACTGGTCGAAAGTTTCCCGATAAAAGATCATGTGATTTGTACAAAGGTCACAGTGGTATAAATATGTTACATCCCACAACTTCTGTGGGTGATACAGTTACATTTCAATTGTCATCAAGAAATCTCTAACAGCTTTAAAGGTACTGTCTGGACAATCACAGAAAATTTAGCATTTATACATTCATTTCACCTTGACATAAAAGTCAAATGTATATGCTGACTGTACCACGTACATCTATTGAGGGTGAAACCTATAGTTTCAAGTTTCAAAAGCATAACTCTAATGGTTATAAAGTGTCATCCAGACAAAATTCTATTAAAATATGAAGATCCAGAAGAA